AGGTAGATGGCACTAATAATGTGTCCATATCATAAAGTAAGCTAACATACATACAATGTTAAAATAAGTCAACTCTTTCAATTAAGTTAAAGGTGGGGTATGTCATTTATTTCAGAAACACTTTTTGTTATATTCCATGGAATGCTCTTAACATCCCGATAGCAATGAATATATTAAATGCTTTGACAATAAATACATTTAAAAAAATGTCATCTGTGGAAGCCGTAGTACTGTAAAAAGTATGACAATAATTTTAGCCGGCCCGGCTAAAGTAACTGGATGGCCTACCTGCCTGTCAGCCTTCCATCTGTGCACAAACTTATCTGGTGCCCTCATTGGTCATGTGCGCGTTCGTGTGTGTTGGAGGAGGGGCTCTGTAAGGAAGTGGCAGATTTTTTCTGGTCGTGTATTTTCAAATTCTAGCGCACTCGAGCTGGTTTCTCCAAAATTACCTACCCCACCTTTAAACTCTCCTTTTTGAATATCCATATTTCCTATACAGTTATTTTCAAGTGTTTTTCAAATGTTGTGTGTGTAAAGCACCCCCATATTTCTATTTTATTCCCGTTAATTACCATGGAAAGATGCCACTTTGAACAGTCCAAGAAAAGCCTACCTTTCTCCATCAGCAGTTGATGGTGAAACCAAGTTAGCCAACACCTGAGTTTATAAATCAACACTATTTATAGATTTTTGAAGTCAACTCAGTTTTGGAAACAAGTACTGCTAAATGGTGACAAATGCTTTTCCCCCTACATTTTGTTTTGTTTGATTAACCGTGGACACATAAGTACTTGATACATTTTGATAGAAGTAGTAGACAGAAACGAAGGATTCAAAATAAACCATCATTATTTTCCACACACATGTACACAGCGAAATTCGACCTCTGCATCCAACCCATCCTAGGAGCAATGGGCAGCGCTGTGGGGGGTCCAGTGCTGTGTCAACTGAAACCTCTCCAAGTACCAGTCTACACTCTTTGTTTGGTTGGTTCGGGGACTTGAACCAGCGACCCTCTGGTTCCCATGCCATGTCCCTACAGAGCTACTGCTGCCCCCCAAAAAGTACAGATCTACCTAAGCAAACAGAGACAATGTAGACTCTAACAGTGTTTAATATATGAGTTCAGCAATTTAGATAGCACAAAACAAAGAAAAAACATGATATAGAAATACAGTTTCACCCATCGGCTCTCTAAACATTGGCACTCGTCCATTTAAATCGGTCAACCACTATAGTTTGGTTTGAATACAATTTGGTTTTGTGCTTCGGTGCCAGCTCAGCATAGTTGGCTCCTTGGTCGTTTGTTTCACATAAAATCAAACTGATTAAAGTGATATTTCTCTTTGGTGAAAAATAAAAAAATGTTCTTCCATCAATATCTGTTCCTCACTTTGAATAAATTCACACAGACAACATTAGTCTGTAATTCAAACACACAGTTTTCTCTGAATCTTCATTAGCTGTTATGTTTTAAAGACATACAATGTTTTAGTATGACGTACAGATCCCCCCCAAAGAATATACAGACATTACAAACGTACTACTGTCCCAAAACATTAGGACTTTACTATTTGTAAAAGCCACAGAGCTGAAAATGCTATGCTCGTCCTGAGGATGGCGCTAGAGGAAAGGCAAGAGGTCATTACAAGTAATTGTGTTTTATCTGCTTGACTGATCACTGTCACAGGCAGAGATTCTGCAGATAAATAATAATATGTTTTGGTGTTGTTAAAGTCATGAACATACATTTGTTCTGAAACAGAGCAGAGCCTCGATTCTATCTCTATCAGAGATGCTGCCACTCGCTCCTCCACCGTGTGTCTGAGCCTCTCTGCTTATCCCTAACTCAAACACTTTCTCCTCTCACTCTGTGAAACTCTCTGCACTCTGCTGCCTCGTGACGCCACTTCCAGCTTACTTAGTTTAAAATTCAAATCTGTTGAGTAAAAAGGCTCTGCTGATACCTTTAGAAGTTTTAAACATCCTTTCAGTCTGAGACTACATTTTCTAAGAGCTTAGAATTATAAAGTCACATCTGTTTGGTTTACTTTTCAAAATGATGACAAAGGGTTCAGAAAAACAGACATTCCTGTAAGTAGAGAAAGCATTGGCCTACTAGGGCAAGTCCTTAAATATACATTGATGTTGAGTATGTTAATTCCCTTCAATCAGTCTACATACTCCATTAAAGATGCTATACATAGCTTTTTTTAAATCTACACATCATTGGCTCATTAATTAAAAAATGTTTACCATAATAACTGTAAATCAATAAGACGATCAGCTTAGTGGCTTCTACATGGTTTTATATACAGTGTTGCAGTAACGAGTAACCCGGAAAATCTAAGCATTTAACCACTTTTGGTTCCCTCGTATTGAAGGCAACGTTTTTATTAGTGGTCAGAAGCCTAAAATAAGGTCTGTGGTTAAAACAAGCTTACCAGATAATCACCTTTTTGTTCTACAGCATAGAATACGTAAGTAAAAATCCTATTTGTGAATGTCTGAAGCTTCTATAGTATGTAGCCTATCATCAAAACAGCGGTTTCTAACAAGTGACTAAATAAACTACTAAACATCATCACGCCGACACGAGCCTGCCTTGAGTTTAGCGGTCGTGAAGCGCATCCAGGCAACCCTGATATAGTTTGTTTTATAGCATTGACTTTTTATTTCAGCCAATTATATTTATGCTTCGAAATCACTAAGTGGTGTTTACATGTGGAGATTATCCTGCTCAAACAAACGTGTTTAATATCATAAACGTGTGTTTGCCACAAAGCATTTCCTGCAATACGAAATCCAATGGGGAAAATCTAACTTCCCAGCTTGGCCTACAAAATCTCCTCATCACTGTCCCACTCCGGGAAGGGAAAGGTTCAGCAATGCTCTCTGGGGCCCTTTAGGGTGAAATGTTGCTTGATCCTTCATAGAAGATATTCAGTCTGATTTAAAGGGGCATCAATAACATATTTGCCTTAAGTAAATTGCACCATGTGATGGCTAGAGTATACCATCAGTTTAGATTGTTTCCTCCAAGCCGAGCTTTGACTATGCAAATCTGTTGGCCTACAGTACTTTTCACAAGAAGTGTCATAATATAAACTTAATCTATTCTGACCTGTGATCACTAATCTAAGAGGAGTATTGTTAACTCTGAAACCGAAGGAGGCAACTTTGAGTTACGATGGAGGTTCTTCCATTATGTGCTCAGTTAGTTGCTCAATACCGTTTCATTTTCTGTCTACTGAGTTTTTTTTCTTGCTTTTGGTTTTTGGTCAGGATCTCTTTACATATATTGTATATAATATCATATGCTATATATTCTATATATTGCATACAATATATCCGTTTTCAAGATTTTCGGAATATTCAGTTGAAGTATGCAAATTAGGCATTATCTCTTGCTAACTTTTGGTGAATTTAGAAGAAATCCACAGTGAAGAATACACATTTAGATAAATAAACACCTATTGTTGTTATATTGCATGTTTTCTTTCCATTACTTTCAAAGAGCATGACCTGTTAGAACATGTTAAGCCAAAACTCTTAAAATTGACCTGTGGATGAAAAAAACAATATTTCTGCCTGTACGGTCTATTTAAAAAAAAAAAGTATTTATCATAACTACAAGAACTGCACTTGGAACACATTTTTGGTTTCCAGGAATTTCAAACTCATGTTGAAATGTAACGTGACGTTAGAGACATACTAATGCATTGTTGGTTTTGGTCTTTTTATTGTTTTGTTTTTCAAATTTTGAATATCATTCAAAAGTATATTCAAGATTGGTATCGTTCCCCCTTTGGCTCTATGACTTAAAAAAAACGTGTCAGTTATTTAAGGACGATTTATAAACGTACACACCCTACAGTTACTCTCACCGTCTTCTATTCCGTCTCCTCCTTTCCCCACCTTCTTCTCTACGTAATTTGATAGTTGATATCATCAATACCCCCCAGTCCTTCCTCCTCTTTCTCACTCTCTCTGTCTGTTTGTCTCTAAGGAGGACAGAAAGACTGTTTGTTCCCTGCCAATAGAGTCAATGTATTGTCTAATCTGGACAAAAGGGGACGCCCTTTTGTCCAGATTAGACAATACATTGACTCTGGGAGTAGTAGTATGAGGAGTAGAGGAGAACACATTTGTTAGAAGGGACAAGGATAGACAAAGGGGAGAGGTTATGAAAATGTATACAATTCAAGTTATTTCTCAAAGAATGTTTCTGCAAAGTAACAAGAATAGAAACGGCAACAATGGTGGTATGCTCGTACATGATTATCTGTCCCGCTACAAAATGAAACGTTTTTATTTCCCAATTACATGAAGAAAAATGCATTTCTTTTAACAGGGACAGTGCACATTAATCAACATTTCTGTAAATGTGCCAGAGTTAGCCAAGTGGCTATTTTTCATCTGAAGTCTGTACACTTCCTTTTTTGGAAAAAATGCAACATTATCAGGTGTAGCTGTATACTGTTTATTGGGAGTGGATGCACTGTCGTCACTGTCACATAACCCATTGGTTTATGGTCTACCAAAATGGCACAAGTTGCTTTGATGAACTACTGGCAGCTAAGTGTGTGGTTTAGTGTGTGTGATGAAAGGCAATGTAAGTTAAACCCAACATGGAAGGCTCCTTGAGAGGTTAGTGTGCTGCAATTGCATCATTTCTTTTTTGTAATTAGAGAGTATTTCTTTATTGAAGGAAAGCTTAGAACGGCACTTTTCTCAAGATGTTAAAATATTCTTTTGTTTCAGGTGACAGTGTATCCTACCATTTGGTGCAACATGTTACTATAATGTACATAACCAAGTGATTTAAACCATAAACTGATTAAGTACATTTTCACCTTCGTATTAGTGAAAAAGTTAAATTGTCTCGTAGACTTCTATACAATGGACCTTTAGTTTTCAAACAGTGGAATCGCCACCTGTTTGTCGTTAGAGAGAATGCAGGTTTAAGCTACTTCACCTTTGGTTTCATTTTCCAGACACGGACAAGCTTGTTGGACAGAATCTGTGAGAGGAGTAGAGGAGGGGAACCAGGTAGGAGGAGAGTTTCTGACAGCCGAGCAGCTGACCTTACACACACACACACACATACACACACATACCACAGGCCTCTTTCTGATGCACACTTGGTCATATTTGTGCATCTAAGTTCTCAGAAGTCCAGTGATTTGCTAACACTGTGCAAGAGTTTTTGCTTGACACTCAGGATTAGGTTTGAATTTGAGTTACATTAAAGGTAAATGTACTTTTAGCACAACCTCGAGGGCCATCCACACTGCCTGAGTGTTGTCAGACGCATTCAATTGAACATGTTTTACAATCCCCTGCAACCACACTAAAAGACACTTTACTCTACTTTTAGTGTTTCTTCTGAGCTTTAAAAGTGTAAACTCCACATGCCCACAGCAGGAGGGTGAATATCAAACTTATATTGGTCACATGTACACAGACATCACAAAGGTTGTTTCTCTGTGGCTGCTGGATGTGTACATTTGAAACCTAAGCCTTATCAATGTCATAAAGTGATAATATGTCAATGTTTTTACAGCTTGTTGTCTTTCCCCCAGTGTCCTCACAATCAACGCTGCTCTATTTCACCACCAGTTTGACTTTGGTTTGTCGATCTTATTTCTTGTAAATATAAAATACAGCTAATCTAAAGCTAGCAGTAGCTAACTTGCTTGGATATCAAGGTGAATTAAGAATGTACGTTAACTTGGGAGGCAAACATTTTGTAAAAACTAGCAAATATATGCTTAAAACCAGATGTAATAACCTGACAAAATGAATAGACCACCTATTAGAGTGTCTTTTAGCACAACTTGGCGCAGAACAATATTGTTGCTAGAAACCTTTCAAGAAGCCGGGCCTAATACATTCTGTGCTTTATCGGCTTTTTTTTTTTACTATAAATTGGACCTTAATCTACAAAGTGAACATAATGCAGAGTTGAAGAAGACTTGAAGTGAGATGTAATGTTTTCATAGACTTCTATGCAATGCAATCTTATTATTTTCCCCTCCAGTGGAGTCGACCCCTTGCCATTTGAAAGAAAGCCTTTTTAAGACACCTTTTTCACTTTTCAGACCTGGAGGTATATTTTAACTTGTCCTAATTTATATGCGCCCATTATTTCTAAGTAGTGTAAGGTTTACAACTGTCCACAGAGACACTTTTTCTGCCTGCACCACTGTGTTCATCCCTGTGTGCAGTCTATCCACAGTTGAGTTGTTGAGGGCCGAGATGAATATGGTATTTCCAACGTAAATGATGGTTAATGTGGTCAAGCAGTTTGCGTTAATAGCTGAGCAGCAGAGCGGATGATTTACGCTGTCCAGGACTCATTATTTGAATCATTCATGGTTTTAATAGTCTTAACTTCCTCTCACCTTCATCACCTCCTCAGCTGAATATCACTTTCCCTCTGAAGCGGCAGCCTCAATCTAATAAGAGCCATTCATCTCTTTTTTTACTCGCTGCTGAAACTTCAGGGAGTGATGTATTTCAGTGCTTCTGTCCCGCCTTTTCCAAACTGCACTCTCTGACCTGCAGTGCGTTTCTCTGCACCCATAATTTGTTCAATGTCAGTTCGATTTAACTTTTCTAAACGTTAAGGTCACAAACAAATTAAAGTGTGGCCTTGCTTGCCAGTTGTAATATGTACTGTAAAACAAATTGAAAAAATATTCTTTCGTAATTTATGAAACCATTTTCTCTAATAGTGGTTTCACCCTGCATCATTAGGAGTTGTTTGGATGGAAAGCTAGACGAAGAACTTTATTCATCACAGCAGGAAATGCCACTGTTACAGCAGATGTGAGCAAAATAAACAATTACAATTCTATCAAGTTTTTGTCTAAACTGTAAATTAAGTTAAACCTCTTTTTATGGTATTTATGGACTGTATTTGACATCCTCTCTATATAGTAGTTTACAATGTTAGTGGCCGTCCGTCATTCACATGCTGGATTCAAATAGCATTGAATCAAGGGATTGGCCGAAAAAATGGTGTATGCACATGACATGTTGGAGAAAGGCAGTAATTGGCTGGCAACTTCTTTATTTGAGTAATAATAAATGAGTTTGTTTTGCTGCATGGTCGTACATTGTATTTCTTACAAAGTAGTAAACAATACAACTGAAGTATTAATCTGGAACTTCTGTTACCAACCAAATGTCAATCCTATGTCCCTCCCCTGCCCATTCCCTGACAGAATGGGAATTATCATTGTCTCAGGATGCAGTCACTGTGGGAATATCATCACACTGTGAATGTGTCACCTTCACAGCTGAGTATCATCCAGTTTATGCTGCAGACCTCCAGCACAAATCCCCCTCGGACCATGCTAATAAAGACTCATATAAATTAAGCCCCTGTTATGTAACTGCTTTCTGTCTTAGCTTTCTGTCAATTATCTAATTGAGTATAAGTTAAGTCTTCAGAATCTTTCCTTCTCACCTCAGCTCTATCTCCATATCACCATCCGGTCTAACAAAAGCCATTTTCATAATCTTAATACCTTGAATTCACTGCCTCTCATTCCACATTGTACATCAGAGGAGACGATATCCTCACCATCTCAGCGGGGATGAGTCTTAATAGTGAAGATGAGCTGCTTCCCCTCATTCCCTCATGCTGGTCTGTCTGGCTGCCTCTGGTTTCCTGCAGGCATAACAACAAGCACTGTTCCCTTCTGCAGAGACATCAAATAGTATGCAATCTAGAGAATGCTTCTGCTATCAGACAAACATCTGCCAACATGAAAAAAAAAATACTTGATAAGGTTTCCTGAACGTAGCATTAAAATCAGGTCACTGCCAATTTATATAAGGCCTTAAAAGTAGTAATGTAAGCTTTGGAACTTAAGACATTCAAGATAAAGGCTCCTGAAAGAGATTGTCTTTTTAATTCATCCAATTATAGTGGAAGTACAGAGGAGGATCTGATAAGCACAGTACCAAATCCTGCATGCAGGGAGGAGTTTTGCTAACTTGAAACAAGTTTAATAGGCTAATCTAATGCAAATGAGGCTTGATGAAAATGTTTATCTTCGATTTGTGAAGCAGCATTTACAGGGTTCAGGCCTTTATTGTGACTTTCTTTGTAGTACTCAACAGAATGCAGGTTAATTATAGTTTCTGATAGCAACTTTAAAGCAAGTACCAATTCAAAGATTGAATTCAATCATTGGATTCCAACTTCCAATCCCAACTAATATATTTTAATATTTGTTTCAGACAATAGAACAGAAAACTAGTGAACATAGTAAAAATCGAACATTAGCAGGGTGGAGGGGAGCAAGGATTGGCGGGGCCTGTTTCTCTATTAGCAGTTAACACTAGCAGTGGCTAACTAGCTGGGTTAGCAAGGTGTATTCCTAATTTACATTCACTGTGATATTAATTGTTAACTTAATTTTGGCTAGCAAGACCAAGCTTAAATCAAGATGTACTAACCAGATAAGATGAACCGCCGAGTCCTTTGAGTGTCTTTTAGCACAACTAAACAAAGAACAATGCTGATCAACGCGATTGTTCTAGCTAGCTCTAAAACATATACCTGCTTTAGCGTCTATTTCATTTTAAAGAGGACCATAAATGACAAAGTTAACATCATGCTGTATTGAATAAGACTTGAAACTAGCAATTGAGAACAAATTGTAAACCCATAAGGAAAACGCTAACTGAGTAAAGTGCAAAGTTGTTTTCTCAAAGAAAATATCAAATTGAATCTATTGTTATTAATGACTTTCATGCAGTCGTACTTCTTTTTGCATCCAATTTAGTTGCCATCTGCTGGACAATTAAACAAAATATTTTGATTAAAGATACTTTTGGCTTCGCTTTTCCTATTTCTGCCAGATCGTTGTCACATGTGTTTAATGTAGTCATCCTGGTTCAGTTGACACAGGTATGGCAAGCCGATTTAGCTTTTATTCACATTCTTACTAGTAAGAATGTGAATACTAGATACTAGTAAGAATTCACATTCTTACTAGTAAGAATGTGAATTCTTGATATCAAAAATGCAATTCTTACTAGTGGTAATGTGTATTCTTGATATCAGAAATGCGATTTTAACTAGTGAGATCTGCATTGTTTTCTCATTCATTTCAATTTCTGATATCAGTAATTCAATTGTTGATATCAGAAATACAATTTGAACTAGTTCAAAATCCTTTTTTGATATCAGGAATTCTATTGTTACTAGTTATAATTACATTTTTATTTATAACTAGTTACAATTGAATTCCTGATATCAAAAAAGGATTTTGAACTAGTTCAAATTGTATTTCCGATATCAACAATTGGCATTTCGACTAGTTCAAATTGAATTCTTGATATCAGAAATTGGAATTTTGAACTGTAAAAAATGTTAAAAAAAAATGTAATTTGAACTAGTAACAATTGCATTACTGATATCAGAAATTGACATTTGGACTAGTTCAAATTCCCACTCCCATTGAAATGAATGAGAAAAACGATGCAAATCTCACTAGTTAAAATCGCATTTCTGATATCAAGAATACACATTACAACTAGTTACAATTGAATTTCTGATATCAAGAATTCGCATTCTTACTAGTAAGAATAGATTTTTTGATATCCTGCAGAAATGATTCAAAGCTAAGTCAGCTTGCCATACACATCTTTCTGATCAATCTGGATCGACAGCACTGCTGGCAAAGTTAAAGATAACTATGAATTAGAATCTGAGCAGTGCCTAGATTTTTTTCAGAACAGATGAAACAAACCAGATACAGTGACAGTAAATATGTTTTGTTGTAAATACGTTTTAGTGAAAAAGGTTTTTGTTTCAGCCATTGGCTGTCACCTGAACTAGCAAGTATTCAGCTCTTTTTGCTCTAGAATTTAACATCGCATAGCCATAACGTATTTCCCTTCAAATCCTGTTTTCTAGTCAGGTGTTTTGCTGTTAACGAGAAACAATATACGAAGAGCGAGCAATATTTCACGCTTGAGACTCGGCCGGCTGTTTGTGGTGCCAGACAATTAGTTGGAGGCATCGTTCACAGAAGTCAATGACTCCTCTGGCGCACACACACACACACACACACACACACACACACACACACACACACACACACACGGAAAGCTGTCAGGATAATCATATTGGGTGATGAAGCATCTGTCATTAACGCCGATCACACTTCAGTGCCAGTTTTTTTTTGTCTGTCTGGCCCAGCTGGTGCTGTCTGACATCATGTGGATGTATGAACCGTTTGTGATCTGTATTCAGAATGTGTGTTGTTGTTTTGCATTTGTTATCATTCCTTAAGAGTCAAAATTCTCTAATATTTGAATGTATCAATGTTTGCTTTTGTTCTGGTAAGGCAAATAAAGCTGTGGGTGATCCCAGTCACTGCCTAATATTCAAATGTTCCAATCAATGAAAAACTACACATTTAGACTGAAGGCTTGATTTATCAATTTGTTTTTCACCAGGTAACGGTCACCTGATGTCAGGATGCCTGAATTCCCACCCCCTTCAGAAGGCCATAGTGATGCCATCCTGACATCTGTGGGAAGTGAGGTTGTGCCAGAATAGGAAGTGAGGGACATGGAGCTGATTCTGGACCTATGCGAGTCTCCTTTTCTATCCAACTCGTGTCCACTGGAGGTGAACGGGCAGGAAACGCAGCAGGTGGACAGCAGCTGGAGCCACGATGGAGACATGCAGGGATTTGGACAGTGAGTTTCCTCTATGGATGCATCATGAAAACTTGATACTGGACTGAAAGGGTTTAACAAAGTCATTACCCAAATGGTAATAAAATACCTTGTTTGATGTTCAAGCAACAATGATTCATGGCCTATGTGAAATAAAATGCTGAAGGGAATGAGTCCCAAAACATAGAAATTGGTTAGAATTGGACTACTAATGGTTCCATAGTCAATGGATATTATTTGAGGGATATTTTGTTAGCTGCCATTAAACCAATTTGTTTCTTAGACAATTTATTTTAAATTCATCCTCTTGGAGCAATTGCGGTGACAATATTTTAGCCTTGTACTTTTTCAGCTGCATTCGACACTCTAAAACAACTTGGGAGCAATTAAGAACATTAATATAAGAACATACTGCAAGTGGAAAGCAAGCTTACTTTAATATCTTAATAATAGCCCACAGCATACGGTCTGTGTAAGTGTGCTACTGTGATGTGTCGCTTAATGTACAGTCCTGCAGTCTCAGTTTGGCATGGATACTTTTATGTATGCTGTGCATGAATACTGCCAGCTGCCCTTCCTGCATTAGGCACTATAAATGGTGTTGCTTGTAGCCATATTTGTGTTCTATTTACTTTACGTTAGCTTAGGTTGGTCAGTGATTGTGTTTTTATACACATTGATTTGTTTTCTCTCAAACATAACTTTCTCTGATTAGATGTGCTTCATTTCCCACCATGGCGATAAACCCTGTTAAGAATTGAACGGTGGTTGTTTGAACTAAAAACCAAAGCTTAAACCTAAAGTTACCCTCTAACCACAGATACTGCTCTGGTTTTTACTTACTTCCTTAAAGAGTCACCACCTCTGCCTGTTTGTCCTAGTGGTTGACTTCAGTACTACAACAATAACATTTATTCCCCACATGTCGGAGTCTGAAAAAAGGCATACAGGAATTTTAAAATGAAAAAAAAGTTTAACAGAAGCACACATTAAGGTAGATAAGGAAGTAGCAGCATTATTTATAAAATAAGTGTTCCATTGTAGAATGAAGTGTGGTATAAAACAAATGATTATTATTAGGATTACTATTGCACATATGTAAAGATGCTTGTGACAGCAATGGATGTACTAGGAGTAGCAGCCAGCAGTAATAATGATAGTAGCAGGAACATATTGCACATAAGTGTTGTTGCACAACAGTGGTATCAAAGTCTTTGTTTTTTATTATTATTGCACATTGGTGTGCTCTTTATACCTCCATTGTCTGTCCCCAGATAACCCAGCAGTCTGTTCCTCTGTTTGTCTTTCTGTGTTTCCAGACTGGAGAGGAGGTGGGTCCTTTGGCACGAGTTTATGAAGGAACACGACCAACTGGACACCTGGCTGCGATTGGTTGAGCCGGCTGTCAGTTCCTCTCACCCTGACAATGTTACTTATGTCACTGCCAAGGAAGAACTGAGGAAAATTGAGGTGAGAAAAAAAAAAACACCCTGCAGAATTAATCTGTAACTATTTTAATTATTGAATGTTCTTTTAAGTCAGTTTCAAAGAAAAAAAACACTAACATTTGGCATTCATCTTTTCAAATTAGAATGTTTGATGCATTTTCTTTGAAAGTGATTAACTGAATTTCCACACTCAAGCTTAAAAGAAATTGATTTGCTTGATTGATTTTTTGTTTTTATTATCGTATCTAGTAGCAACAAAGGTCTACTGCTGAATTGACCAATTCATCTTGGACCCTAAACAACAATGATAGTAAACTTAAGATGTGGGGGTTTTAGACTGTAGGTTGAACAAAACTAAAAGTAATTGCGATACATCTCCTTGAGGTTTGGGTAATATAAAATGCCTTTAATCAAGAAAAGCATATTTTTCAGTACATTAATTAGTTGTTAAAATAATGGGGGGTCACAGCCTAAAGTGGTCGTAATCGTTAGTCATCTCTGAGTTGCTATATTCGGTTTTTAATTGTATATTTACCCTATTTACATATTGAATACATCCAAACCTTGCTCCACAAATGTTGTTTTATTAATGCTTTTTCATACATATAAATACATATCATTTTCTTACAGCATCTCTAACATTTCAAGATATCTGTGGCGGGTAGGTACTTCACAAAGTCAAAAATAACCTTAATTTCCCCTGAAAGTCTAAATTTAGTTACAGAGGATTTTAAACCATCCTAATAGTGCCTAGAGGGTTGTTAACTTTGACACATGGGGAAAATAGCACTGCATGAAAGAAACGTTTTGTCTTCAAGTTGTGTCAGATAGCTGCAGGTGAAAAAGTACGATGTTGTGCTCTAGTGTCTTTGTAACCTCTCTGTGCATTTGTCTGTGGGATCAGAGGCTGCGGTGCGAGGCTGGATCTCGGCTGGTGCAGCTGGATAGTCTGACCCGGAGGAATCAAACTCTGACTCGGCTGTTTCACGGTGCCATGCAGGCCCGGCTGCTGGCGGCAGCGAGGGATTGTGGGCAACGATGGGACGACGTGAACGCCAAACTGGAATACATCACCACAAGACCAAAGGTCAGAGTTCAACCTAATAATAAAGCCAACATGTTGTTTTTTAAAAAAAATGATATCTTGTATTATTATGCATAGCAACATTTCAATTAACTAATATTGTGGTTCAATTGTCATTAGTTTCTTGATTGTGATTTTATTTTTTTTCAAGATATGTTTTGGGCTAGAGGGCCTTTTTAAAAGGAATTCTGAATCCAATTGAAAAATCCAAACAAAAGAGCATTATTTATATTTTAATCCTATGATCACTTATTAATTTAATCAATAGGCGCATTCACACCGCAGTACTTTTCCCACAAAGGTTCATCAGAACTTAGTTCATGAGAACTCTTTAGTTCTCATGAACTAAGTACAGATCGCGTTCACACCGGAATAAATCCCTGGGGGAGGATTAGGCAAATGAAGCCGCTGACGTCACTTCTTCTTCTTCTGCTTTGGGTTTACTGGCAGGCCGCAAACCACTTCACGGCGTATACTGCCGCCGGAAGTCCCCGGAGTTGGGGACTGGCTTCAAGCTTCTATGAAATCAGTTCCATTCATTTCTTATGGCTCTATCTGCAGCTTTTCCGTAGTCATTTCTGTGGTTTAGTTATATTCTTATAAAAAAGTGTACTCGTGTCAATAAAGGTTTTTATAAAACACAACTGCTTCCGAGGTCGGTCTTATTTCTTAAGGTGGACTGAACCATGAGTGTGGAGTAACGTTGTATCTTTCATTTAAATGAACTGTAACCTTCACCCAGGTATGTAACAGCTGTTCTCAAATGAACACGTGAAGTAAAGTTTAATATTTATAGTTTTATAGATTTATAATGAGAGGTGATCAACGTGAATGCTCAGGTTCCACCTTAACTCGCAGACAAGTTGCTTCACCATGAGCAGAAACCTTTATATATACAGTCTATGGCAGAAATACTGAAACTCTTGTTAAGTTTCTCCATCGTTGTGTACAAACTGGATAAAACGCAGGCTTTTGTTGTTGTTCAGGAGTTGATCTGTCTCTGCCCCCGCCTCGACGTAAGCGTGACGTATGCGGTGCTTTTGCTCTGGCCGGACAATTTTTTGGTGCTTGAAACGAACCGGATTCCGGAGCTAAGAGGCTGCTCCGCTGCGGTGTGAAGAGGAAAACCCGGTGCTTTTCAAGCTCCAGCTCCGAACCGGCCCTGAAACACCGTTGGTGTGAATGAGGTATAGCAGGGACGGAAAAGGGGGTAAAAAAGGTTCTGATTAACTAATTTTAGTTCTGGCTTTTTTTGGTGTGAACGCGACATTTCGGAACTATCGGAACTAAAGTGGGAAAAGTACTGCGGTGTGAACGCGGCTATTGGAGCTAAATCCAAAATAACTGAAAATGTGTTATCAATTAACTTTTATAGTGTAACTCTGATAAGTGTGGTCATTTGGAAATAATGCAAGTTACACTATGAGACTAGAATATACGGTGGAATATTTAACAACAGAGAATCTCAACATTTTACTTTTTCAGCTCTTTGTCTCAGAGTGGGAGGGGTTTGAGGCAGAGAGGGAGGAGCTTGCTCTCTGGTTGGCTGACCTGGACGGCCGTCTGACTCAGGTGGATCACCTGTCAGGACACACCTGTGAAAAGCTGAGAAAACTGCAGGTGCGTGTTTGTTATATTTTTTAAAAAATCCGATTTTATTTTTGATATCTTTTTTGTGTGTGAGTGCAGTCCTTCCAGCAGAGTGTGTGTGTGAACTCGGACCGCGTGAACGTCCTGCTGCAGCGCGGTGAGGCCTTGATACAGCGCTGCGACCCGACTGACGCTCGGCGTGTCGAGAGTGATCTGCTGAAGATGCTGCGGCGCTGCAGCCTCGTCTTCAACAACATCGCACGGACACACAGCAGGCTACTGAGCATGAGACTGGTAAACCCACACACAAACATGGCAGTGAATAAACACATTATTGTATAAAATGTGTTCTCTTTTCAAAACATATCTCTCGTCGCACATATTGCTGATAAATATTGAATCAACTAGTTGTTTAAAACACAAGAACAGTGCTTGTCAGTGAATGTAGGATTATTTGAATCTGAGATTGTCATGCAAAACTTAAGCAACATGTCTTCTTTACTCCCCTGCAAAATGTCTTGTTTTTCATTCATAGTTATTTTCTTTTCCTCCTCCAGGTGTTTGAAGATGACTTGATTTTGTCTCAGGCTACAGACTCTGGATGTCCTTCAGAGACTCTTTTAGAGGAAGAGGGTGCACTTGATAAAGCCAACATGGACATCCCTTCTATTTCAAACCATCCTAAAGGTAAACCAACACATATCTTATTACAGGCTATATTCAATCATAAATGGACAACCTTTGGTAAAGATCTATATAACTGCTTTCAGGCAATAATCATCAAAACATCTCCATCTTCTGTCTAGATTTCAGCCAATCATCTCACCCCACCCAAGCATTCTCCCCCCTTCAACTCCCTCTTCCAACTTCCACACAGTCCTCTCCTACCCATGAGCACCTGGGGCTTGAGTGGGACCCTTCAGTTGATATTGGACGCTCCGTTTCCCGTGACAACGCAGACTCATTGTATTTTAGTGCCAGCGCAGGTATTTACAAAAACTCAGGGTAGAAATCCTTGGAATCGTTGTATTGGCCAGAACAGAAAGCTTTTGGTTATTTTAATTTCTTTATATCCCACAGCTTGCAGCATACGTAAAGCTGACAATCTAATTTGCCTGTTTGTTTTTATCCATTGTGGAAGCCCTGAAAAGAAAAGAAAAAAAAGTCTAGTGATCCATGCTTTTGGGTCTTTTACAAATGTATTTCGCCCCTGTGTCTATGCCTAAAGAACAGCTGGAAAAAGTTGTCCGAATAATTTCTTCAAATAACAATTGTTCTTATTGTTCCATACCACCAAATACTTTAAAGAGGACCTGAAGCTTTAATGTGATTGTATCCTTAATTATCCTTACAAAAGTCACATATATAGATATCATTGAAATACATTTATCATTGAAATACATTTATTTCCAAAATACTTTAAAGGTCCCATGTCATGGCCATTTCTACTGATCATAATTCCATTGTTGAGGTCTACTAGAATAGATTTACATTGTGCAATTTTCCAAACTCACATTGGTTTCTCATACAGCATCTCTGTATAGTATGTGTATTCACTCTCTGTCTTAAACGGCGTGTTGGAGCTCCTGCCCCCCCCCCCTCCCTATGAGCCCAGTGTGCTCTGATTGGTCAGCTCGCCCACTCTGTTCTGATGAGTCCACCACCGTTACAGCGGTACATCAGTGATTATGTGTTACAATGGCGTTAGCAACCAGAAAATGACACCAGTAAGGAAAAACAGATGAGAATGCTGTGTGGTGTCTGGGTGCCGTGTTGGCGGGACGTTGCGCGGCTCGCTGCTGTGAGGAGCGGACAGTGTGAGTTGGGTTCATTTCCTGGTTGCTGCGTGGGTTCTGCGAGACATCGCGAATGGACGCGAGAAGGGGGGGTGCTGAGGGGGCTGCAGCACCCCCATCTGCGAGGCTCCACTAGCACAAAAAAAACCTGCGTAACACACAAGGGGATGGGTAATAACCGGAAAAGCATGACATGGGACCTTTAAAACATTTTAACATTTAAAATGTTGCAATTTCAGGTTACAATATCCATTACAATCCCAGATTCCGTTTCCAAGTTCCAAATCCAGGTTTAAATTCCAGTTCCAATTCCAGGTTTAAATTGCAAATTCCAATTCTAGGTTTTTGATTCCACATTAATATTCCATGTTCCAACCCAATTTCAACTCCAATTCTACAATCTAATTTCTAATTCCAAGTTTCCGTTATTTTAGCCAATTCCATTTCCACATTCTAATTCTAGGTTAAAATGGTTCCAATTCCCTATTCTAATTCCAATTGTAAATTCCAGTTCCAGGTACAAATTCCAGGTTCCAACTCTAATTCCACGACCCAGGTAAAATTCAAGGTTCTAATTCCAAGTTTCAATTACAACATTTTAATTGAAACTCCAATTTCATGTTCAAATTCTAAATTTCAATCCCAGGTTCCAATTCCTATTCTGGCTTCCAATACCAGGTTCCAATTCCAAATCCTTGTTCTAATTCTAGGCCCTAATAGAGAACCGCAGTGACACGTCCTAAAACCCGGAAGTAAGTTAGCATTTTTACCACGTCCGGTTCCTTCGATAAAAAGCAATGCAATTTCTCCATAGGATTTTGGAAAATAGCTCCAAATAAGGTCTGTGTTTGACACAAATTGAAGAGACAGATCACGTTTTGTTCTACGACATTAAATACATCAGCAGTGACCCCGCTGGTGATTTTTGAAGAGTTTACGTGTCTGAAAAACGATGGTTAACATGTGGCTGAATAGGACTACAGAAGTTATCGAGGCCGTTTTACGTCATTACACCGAACACGTAAAACACTCCCGCTAAGTTTGTTTGCCCTGTTCTGCTTGAAAGCAAGTACCTGCCTCCTGCAAACTGTTCAAACGCGTCAACTTGTACCATTTAGAATCTGTATGTTTGAATATGGATCTTAAGTTGGCGTGACGTTGAAGCTACTTACTGTACCTACCTGCTGTAGTTCGTTTATAGCATAACGTTAGCATTTTGCTTCTGGCGACTAGATTTATGATTAGAAAATGATAAAAGTAGGGTAGAGATGTGGAGATTATCCGGCTGAACAAAACGTGATCCGTCTCTTAAATGTGTGTCAACCACAGATCTTATTTCGAGCTATTTTCCAAAATCCTATGGAGAAATTGCATTGCGTTTTAGACGAAGGAACCGGAAGGAGTTTACTTCCGGGTTTTAGGACGCGTCACTGCGGTTCTCTATTCCACATTCCATTACGAATTCCACTTCCAAATGCCAAGTTCCAATTTCATAACCCAGATCCAGTTACAATTTTAAGGTTTCATGTCCATTTCCAACTTTATATCTAAAAGCCAATTCCTAAACAGTATTCCAGTTTTCAAGTTTCTGTTCCAAATCCACATCCATTTGCAATTCCACATTTCAAATCCAGGTTTCAATAAAAAAAATCTATTTCCAGGTACTCGTTCCAATTTCACTTTGACATGTTTTATTTTAAGGAAAACATAGGCGTAGTCAAACGTTTTTTTCTGGAATTATTTATTAACTAAGTGCAAAATTCCAAAAATCTACAAATAGAAAAATATTGGTAAAAAATGAAGTAAACAAAATGATTGTTCTTCTATAGATTTGTAGGGCTGCATGCAAAGTAATACTTAATCCAAACCTATGTATATGATGAGATAAGACTAAATGACTACTTAACACTGGGCTTTAGATTAACATCATACATCATTTTGTTTGCGCAGGTCTTCCTCATCACAGAAATGGTGTGAAGAGGCGAAGCTACCTCAGCTCCCTCGGCTCTGAGTCTGATATCCGTAATGACATCAATCATGAAGCAGATTTGGTGAGTCACAGCAAATACCTTGGTCTTTGCCATATTATATATGAACTTAAATGATGACAGAATAACATGCACTTTCCCCTTTCTGCTTTGAAAACAATGTTAACATTTCAATGGCGCCCGCGCCCACCTCCAGCACTGCGAGCCATGCTGGTGTTAGCACCTGTATTAGGCAGAAAAATCCTATGTGTTTAGAGCGCTTCCTTATCAATGAATACCATTTACATGCCACAGATAATTACAACAATGTATCACATCCTTGCCTCATGACCACAACAAATAACAAGGTAAACCACACAAACTTTAGTTTTAGTATAACAAATTGTTAAAGTTAGCTAAGGTAACGTTTAGCAGCAACTTGTGCATAACTTATGAGTTTGCTAACTTTTGCTAATTTTGTTAGCAAACTAACATTAAAGCTAGGGTAGGTAAGAATGGAGAAACCAGCTTGAGTGCGCTAGAATTTGAAAGTACACAACCGGAAAAAATCTGCCCCTTCCTTACAGAGCCCTTCCTCTAACACACACATGAACGCGCACATGACCAATGAGGGCACGAGATAAGTTTGTGCACGAGATGGAAGGCTGACAGGCAGGCAGGCCATCCAATTATCTGCAGCGGGCCGAGGCAGATAATTGGTCTAGCTTGGTCGGCTTCCACAGATGAAATATTTGTACATATTTATTGTCAAAGCATTTAATTTATTCATTGCTATCGGGATGTTAAGAGCATTCCATGGAATATAACAAAAAGTGTTTCTGAAGTGAAATACCTACCCTACCTCTAACATGCACAACAACAGGGAAAGAATGCGAACAGCACCATTTCAATCATTTTAGCTGGTGTTACAAATCTTATGAGTTAAGTAGGCTTACAGTTATTTGCTGCTTAACTCCTATTGACCTACTTTTATAGTTTTTATGAATAATAAGATTGTATTATTTACCTTGGTGTTATCGGTGAAGGTTATGTCGCTTCTTCAAAAAATGTAACTCATGCCCTCGTTTCCACTTTCAATTCCACTTTTCAATTTTCATTTCCAGATTTCAGTTTGAACTTCAAATTCAACATTCCAATTACAAGTTCTAATACGAAATTCGACTTCATATGTATAATATAATTTTTTGGTGCATATTTAAGAAACTTGCCAACTACAAAAATGTAGTTAACAAGAAGCAGCAGTGTACATTTTATATACCGTTTTATTGGTTGCCGCATTATCTCCGTAGTGATTTTAATGCTGCTGTTTCCTTGCACAGTCACTTATTAAATAACATTTTAATAGGTTTATTAACTTGTAATGTCAAAACTAATGCTGCATATTTACATCGGATCTTAATCCAAGCAAAACCATGTAGGGTTTTTCCTCAAATGTCAGTGTAGTCTTATCTCTGTTGTTGTGCTCTGACCCAGATGCTACATGGCCCAGAGGCTTTGTCTGTCTTTCTCAATCTCTCACACACGCACGCACACACACACGCACACACACTGTCATTGAGGTTTCGATACACAAGCTATCTAAAAATGTCCTCCATCGTCGTGTGTTAGCTTTACGAGCTGGCTACAACAGATTGCCTCCTCCTCTTTGTGTGGATTTATTAATGACACCTCCAGGATGCAGCTGTGGATTTTCCTTTTTTTTATGGACCAGACAGAGAAGTATAGAAACAGGACTGTGTCTGCAGCTGTACTAAGTAGAGGCAGAGGAAAACTGAAGAACAGAAATAAAGAAGAAAAATAAGACGGGCGTTCATGATTTGGGGGGAAAGGGAGGCGAGAAAAGACATTTTGGAATTATTATTACTCTGCTTGTTTGCAGTCCCCCCCTCTCTCTGCTTCTCTCTGTCACACCCACACACTGTTGCACTGTCAATGAACCCTAAAGCCTGTCAGGAAAACAGCCAAACTAAAGGCTGAATTAGCATCAGATTACAGCTTCATCATCTCCAAAACAACATCAAGGTGTTTGTGCACTTGTCACCCTACTGTATTTTCTCTCTTATTTTGATCTTATTTTATCCTTATACACATGGAGGCATTATGTCTCCCCTCAGGCTCGGCTCAGTCTGTACTGAGCATTTCACGTGTTTGTACTTCACCATCTGCAACAATGTGACTTTATCTGTTTGTACGCTGCATAAAATCTGAACGCAAAACAAAAGACATGCCTGCAGACAATAACACCTCCACCACCATGATAACAGCTCTGTTGATATCAGATCACCAGTTTCAATTGTTTTTGTCCTAGGGCGAATCGCTACATTCTGCTTTCCTGCTATGATTTGTTTGCTTGTTATTTGTTACTGTCTTTTGTGCACAAAATGCATCCAGCAGTCACCACTGTTTGCCAGAGTTTACTCGACAGTAGTCCTTATGCTCCCGATAGCTCAAAACCGTGGAACTTCATTCACATGATACGGGATATCCTCTTTGCTTATCGCGAGGTGGGGCGCAGACTTGTGGTGAAAACAGCCAGTTAGATTTGTTGCTTACCTCCCCTTGTAGCTTACGCCGCTACATACAGCTGTTTTATGATTATTTGCATGTCAAAAGGTAACTATGTCAAAGTTTAAATAATTTGAACTTTGAAAGCAACATCCAGGCGGTGCAGCTCACTCCATTGAAACACAACGCCAACGCAGAGAAGCTTTGCCACTTCTCATGTGAATGTATAATGGCCGATACGTTTTCGGGTGATATGAGAGCTGATATTGAATTCATGAAAAAACGTGTGCAAATCAGGTATAAGAAAGCAAGCAAAAAGGGTTCTTGTGTAAATGTTCCTATTAATAAAAAATGTAATTGTTTACACTAGAGACGACCATCAGGATACCAGAGGATGCGGTTATTGGTTTATAAAAGACACTTAACCACCAGTTACATCGATAAAACTATTACCACACCGTTTTACGTAAGGGTATAAGTACAAGTTTTACGTTACTTGTACTCACCTCGTCTGCCAACAACGGCAAACATTAGGTTAGCTGAAATGATTATATAAAACATTTCACATTTCTCGTGCTAACATTAGTTATTAGTATAGCAAGCTAATGTTAGCTAAATTAAATAGTTATTTCAGGTTTGCTGCTTAACGTTACATTTCTTAACTTTATAAATGACAGTAATACAGAATTATTAAGGTTGTATTGGTGTACCAAGGTGTTATTGGTGCAGGTCATGTGTCATGGAAGTACAATGTTTGAAATATACGATCGGTGGGATTCTTTTTTTTAACAATAAGCATAACAAATAAACTTCCTGATATAATGCAGTGGCATATAATTTTCAGAGGTGATCAAGAGTTGAACGGAGGAAAATTATTATTGTCCAAAGTAACTCTTCATTTTTTATTATGTGTGTTCTGTGCAGCGATTGGAGGGATGGCTTGAACACAACCACCCAAGCGTCTTGTCACCAATAGAAAAGAAAGGGGGCGGGACTCGGCCGAATGGAGTCGAGTGGGCGACATCGACTCCTGACCCAGAGGAAGGTGGACAAGTAAGCTTTGACGATGGCCGTGTGAGGGCGTGGCTGCGAGTCCAAAGCCCCGCCCCTTCAGAGAGGAGGACTTCCCGCTCAAAATGTGTGCAGACTGATGGACAGGTGGAGGTGGGTGAAATCTCTTTCATTCAAACTGATGAAACTTTTTGTCAATAATTAATCTTAAAAAGTCCCTATTATGCTTTTTGGCATTTTAGCTTTCCTGATTTGTTTTGCAGGTTAGTGTTCGGCAAAGGCTAAGATCCCAAAGTTCATACCAGAGGGGGTTTCTCTCCCACATTCTAAAAAAAAACATAACAATCACATTTTTCTCACCAAACTTGTCTTTCTGTAAAATGTCAAATATTCGTTTCATCATCCAATTCTGTGCTTTGGTTGTTTTTTTGAAAATAATATAATAATAATTAATATTGATAAAGATTTGAGTGTAACACCTGAGAGTCAATGCGATTTTCCATCTGCACAAATATTTGGTGCAGATAACAACATCTTTCTGACCTTTTCTCTTTTGCAACATAATAATGATAAATATATTACTACAACTGAATAACAGGTCATTTGTCAGCAGTAAGTTCATATTTTACTTTTTTTTAAGGGTATCTTGTTTTTTTGATAATGGATTTTGTGTATAAAAGCCTGTATATATTCTTCTGTAGTCTTTCTGCCATAGAGCTCCATTGTTATCCAAAACACACATTGGTAAACCACAGCGTGCACTGGCTGACATGTTCTTTCATTACCATGCACACACACACACACACACACACACACACACACACACACACACACACACACACACACATACACATACACATACACATACACACACACACACTAGTTTATGTTTACTCCCACATACACCATCATGATGAACCAAATACTCACTAGAGCGTCAAATGTGGATTAACCCGCCGCTGAATTTGTCTTGCTGAGCTTGTTTCCCCGAGTAGTTGAGAACAAACATTCCGCACATGGCATCACATGCACATCATCTGTGTGTGCAAAAACTCCTGACCTGACTCTCGAGACATCCTCACAGTGCACAGTTCAGGGCATTATCAGCGGCTGTTATCCAGTCTTTGTGAATCTGTCCATCAGTTTGCCAAAAAGGAGAGCAGGGAATAATCATGTTCTGCTCTTACAAATGTATCCTAGTATTCTCTAAATGTCAAAACTATATTTATTGTGTGTTCTCTAATGATTTTCGACCCCCAAAAAAATACAACCTCTTGTCCTGCAAAATCATTAATTAATTAAATGTGTATATACAGTGGGGCAAAAAAGTATTTAGTCAGCCACCAATTATGCAAGTTCTCCCACTTAAAAAGATGAGAGGCCTGTCATTTTCATCCTAGGTATACCTCAACTATGAGAGACAGAATGAGGAAAAAAAATCCAGAAAATCACATTGTCTGATTTTTAAAGAATTTATTTGCAAATTATGGTGGAAAATAAGTATTTGGTCAATAACAAAAGTTCATCTCAATACTTTGATACCCTTTGTTGGCAATGACAGAGGTCAAACGTTTTCTGTAAGTCTTCACAAGGTTTTCACACACTGTTGCTGGTATTTTGGCCCATTCCTCCATGCAGATCTCCTCTAGAGCAGTGATGTTTTGGGGCTGTCGCTGGGCAACACAGACTTTCAACTCCCTCCAAAGATTTTCTATGGGGTTGATATCTGGAGACTGGCTAGGCCACTCCAGGACCTTGAAATGCTTCTTACGAAGCCACTCCTTCGTTGCCCGGGCGGTGTGTTTGGGATCATTGTCATGCTGAAAGACCCAGCCACGTTTCCTCTTCAATGCCCTTGCTGATTGAAGGAGGTTATCACTCAAAATCTCACGATACATGGCCCCATTCATTCTTTCCTTTACACGGATCAGTCGTCCTGGTCCCTTTGCAGAAAAACAGCCCCAAAGCATGATGTTTCCACCCCCATGTTTCACAGTAGGTATGGTGTTCTTTGGATGCAACTCAGCATTCTTTCTCCTCCAAACACGTCTAGTTGAGTTTTTACCAAAAGGTTATATTTTGGTTTCATCTGACCATATGACATTCTCCCAATCCTCTTCTGGATCATCTAAATGCTCTCTAGCAAACTTCAGACGGGCCTGGACATGTACTGGCTTGAGCAGGGGGACACGTCTGGCACTGCAGGATTTGAGTCCCTGGCGGCGTAGTGTGTTACTGATGGTAGCCTTTGTTACTTTGGTCCCAGCTCTCTGCAGGTCATTGACTAGGTCCCCCCGTGTGGTTCTGGGATTTTTGCTCACCGTTCTTGTGATCATTTTGACCCCACGGGGTGAGATCTTGCGTGGAGCCCCAGATCGAGGGAGATTATCAGTGGTCTTGTATGTCTTCCATTTTCTAATAATTGCTCCCACAGTTGATTTCTTCACACCAAGCTGCTTACCTATTGCAGATGCAGTCTTCCCAGCCTGGTGCAGGTCTACAATTTTGTTTCTGGTGTCCTTTGACAGCTCTTTGGTCTTGGCCATAGTGGAGTTTGGAGTGTGACTGTTTGAGGTTGTGGACAGCTGTCTTTTATACTGATAACGAGTTCAAACAGGTGCCATTAATACAGTTAATGAGTGGAGGACAGAGGAGGCTCTTAAAGAAGAAGTTACAGGTCTGTGAGAGCCAGAAATCTTGTTTGTTTGTAGGTGACCAAATACTTATTTTACCGAGGAATTTACCAATTAATTCATTAAAAATCCTACAATGTGATTTCCTGGATTCTTTCCCCCCATTCTGTCTCTCATAGTTGAACTGTACCTAGGATGAAAATTACAGGCCTCTCATCTTTTTAAGTGGGAGAACTGGCACAATTGGTGGCTGACTAAATGCTTTTTTGCCCCACTGTATATAACACACACAGATTACATGTAACTGCATTACGTAATCGGGATACAAGAAAAAAGTAGCTGTATTCCCTTACTGTGACATAACAAAGGCGTAATCGGATTACGGTTATATTTCAAAACATTTAGGATTACTAGCATGATTACAATGTTAGGGATAAACCACAAAGAGCATTGTGTTTGTTGTAAAAGGATCAGATTTTATTTCTCCATGTTAGCTGTACTGTTCTTTAGGCTAATACTTTAACGGCCCGTCCACACAGCGGCGTGCGTTGAAGCTTCCAACGCTTCTGCCCATTCACTTTGAATGGGGTGACGTCACTTTTAGCCGAACTGCATTTTGGGAAGCGACGTGGAGCGTTGCTGGCGTTGCTGGCTTCAAAAGTTGAGCAATGTTCAACTTTTGACGCCTCGACGGAGGCGTCAGCCAATGAAATCCCGTTTATGCAAATCTGCCAGTACAAGCGCTAGCCAATCAAACCGCGTGTATGCTGGGAGAGACTACGCAGGTCATTTCTTCATATTCAAAAAAATGGAGGGAAAATTCATTATAGCGGTAGTGAATCACCCGGTCTGATCAGTCTCTGTTCATCTACCGGGATACAAACCGGAGGAGCGAGGCATGGAGGGAGGTGGCAGAGACAGTGGATGAAACTGGTAGGTTTTCGCCTGTTTGGGGATTTTATATCCAGTTTACTTCGTTTTAACATTGCTATTGCTTTGTATGTCGGGGGCGGGAGATTCATGTGATTGGTTGTTGGTCGCGTTGCTCGCAAAAAATCCCCAAGCTTCAGATACGCCCACCTCCAAGCGTCAACGCACGCTGCTGTGTGGACGCTCCGTGAGAGTGAATATATACGCCTACTGCCTGAATCTGCTCTATGATTTTCACTTTCTTTGGTTAATTTGTTCTTTTTTTTATTCAGCAGGTGAACCTAGGTTCATAAAATAGTGTGTGTGTGAGCATAACTGTGTATTCAACTAAAACGGAGCATTTTCTGTCAGCTCATATTTTATTTTTGCTTTTTGAAACTGTAGTTTGTGCTCATGTGTTTCATAGTTAGTGTATACTGTAGGCTACTGCCTGATTATGTTTAATGAAAGGCAGCTTTTCCTATCAATAAAATCTCTGAGCAGAGGACACATTTGTGATGCTAAATATATTGTTTTCTATTTTTCTAAGGTCACATTGTTCTGTTGCCTTACATAAGACACTAAAATATCTTGATATTTATTTTCATTGCATTTGATATTGACGTAGCAGAAAGCAATCAAATGACATTACTGTACTTTTATAATGTTACTCTTGTACACTTTTTACATGTAACTAGTATTTGTAACAAAGTACATTTTTAAAGTAACCCCCTCACTCTTCATAATAATCAAGATTATAGATATGTTCCTAAATAACTGTCCTCTACCCCCCTCTGTTTTTTCTCTCTGGATTTATCGGTCTCTCTCATTCAGATTTATTTTTCTCTCCCTCTTTCATTACTGGTGAAATCGCCCATTTATATTCCACTTCCTCCGTTTCATTCACTGCTCTTAGGGCCGTGAATGAATCCATAAAGTCATGATTCATTCATTGAGTCTGGCTGCACATTCACTGTTGATATAAAAACAGTTGAGAAACACGCAGACTTCTTCGTTCAACCTCCTTTCCTCTCTGCTTACTCCTTCTGTGAACACTGACTCACAGGAGGGGGAGATAAACAGACGTTGAAGAGAAAATAAATGTTTTTAGATTAGTTATTCAGGGTCAAGTGTGTGTGTTTAGAGCAATTAGAGCAATTTTGTGCACAATAATTTGCAATATGCGACTTTGGTTGAACGTGTTTGAGTGTAATTGCATTGGCACTTTCTAATGGAGGTTCATTACTGACAGAGCTATCGAGCGAGCACAAATCTAATTGGAGCGGAAATCAACCTGCAAGTCCAGATTTGAGAGCAGCAAAAGATACAATCAGGAATTTAATCGATGTTTTGGAGCAGCTTGTGTACAAACTCGGACTGAGAGCAGAAGAAGGTCTGATAAATCTAAATTTAAGGTATCATTCTGACTATGCCTTCTTCTTGCTAGTCATGAGTTCAGTTGTTGTAAAAGTAGAAACAAATCACTTTTGTCAGACACCGCATGATGCAGACCAAACGGCAAACACCAGAGAGATATATGTGCTTCTTGTAAACCCAGGATTTTGCTGATTTAAAAAAAAAAGTGATATTGATTTAGAGACCATTTTTAAAGTTATACGCTCGCCAATTCGAGTTTATAACCTTCATGCATTAGCAAACCTTATCTAACTGTAGGTAACTGGTCTGTGTTTCAGTGTAACATGGATGGAAGACACATGGATGCACCCAACAAGCTGCGTCCTCATCTCAACACACACCATCCATCTCCTGACCCCTCCCATTCCCCATCACATGACCTCAAGGCCGCGCCTGATTGGATGAAGCACCAATATCGCTCCGATCTTCAGGTGAGTTGATGATGTCAGTCAATAATTGTAACACATTATAAAGCATTGTTTATTGTATAATAAAGTAAACTATCATAATATTTTATAATTGCTGCCTAATTGTTTTAGACTGATGTTTTTTTATTCCCATAGTTGTAATGTAATAGTTTAATCTCGAAATCACTCCGAGTGGTCATCAGGTGCTTTATTGAATTAATAAATCCCAGAAGTATAGCTGGATAAAATGAATAATAAGTGGGTGATAAATCACTGGTCAGGTTATTTATTTGTCCCTGCAGGTAGATTTGGTATGCAGTTAAAAGACCAAGAGCTCCATTATGAAATCTGTAAAGAGAAACCCGTGCTCCATCACATTTAAAAACCACTAGGACAAACATGACACAATCAAGTAAATAAATGAATGGGCGTTGCTTCCAAAGCAGCTGTGTGACTGCTGCGACTTGTTGTTTTTTTTGTGATGGCAGCTGGAATAAAGCTGTTTTTATACCGCTTTGTTCTACACCTTGGGACTACTTACCTCTGACCCGAAATAAGAAGCTTAGATTCAGTGTGCAGAGGGAGGGAGGCATCATTCAACACAGAGCTGGGTAACCACTGTAACTGCCTGAGGTACAGGGACTCCAGGTTCAAATGTGACTCAGCAATCAGTCTGCTAGATGTAACAATCTGACAGAGAGTTTCTGCTCTTTCAAGACAGGTGACCAAACCAGGACACTAAAGGGACATTATCACATTGACGATATTATCAAATCTTGTGTTTTTAATGGTCACAACAGAAATGCAGTACTGACATTTCCCATGACATTTATTTTCCCTATGTTAAAGTTTCCCAGAAAGAAACTTAAAACTTGACTCCAATTCCAGATAATACAATTCTACTTTGGCTGTATAATTATACACTGCTATAAGCAGATTATAACTGTGGATATGAGTTTGAGGTTGCAGCAATTATTAATAATGTGACCTTATACATCATAGTAAAATGTTTATAATTTATGCTCTGATTATTGTTATAAGGCATATAGCACTATGTAATTATAGTTATAAACAATCGTAATTATCCATTATCACTTACAACTAAAATTGTACAGTGCTATGTGCCAATTATAAAGCATTATAAGTATGTTTATGATTTAATTATAGATATACGCATCATAGAAAGTAACCACATGTTGTCCTGACATTAAGTGTTGAAACTGCCAAAGGATTTCATCAGTTCACATTAATTAAAGTGTCAAATGTAATGTGGTATTGATTCATTGACGGAAAATAATACAAACATTAACTTTTAAATAAGACAGCAGTTATGCCTTCAGGGGAGAAATAAACTCTGAGCTGATATATTCTTCAAAGGTTTTCACGTGAAAGTTAGAAATGTTGCCTGAAAGCACGGTGCATTAACAGAGGCTCACTGTTCTTCAGGCTGGAGAAGAGCAGCCCTGTTGTGAAGGAGCCGAGCGTCTTCACTCAGAACAAAGGTGAGAGAAGAGTTGTAAGCAGATGGAGCGATAAAGGCTGTAAGCATGAAGGTTTGTGAAACCACAGAAACCAGCAGAACAGTGAGATTTATGTTCATGAAGAGAAAAACTTCACATCAGGTCATCGCACAACATGAGGCCATTATCATGGATAATGTAGAATTTGTGGACTTGTTACATGAACTAATTGAATCAAAATGAGTGTATTTTAAAAAAGAAAATAGAATATTTGTATTAAAATGAAGATTGTTTGTTGTTGACCAGCATCAATGTTTTCTGGAACCCATTTAATAGAATTAATATAAATTAATAAAAAATCTTTATTTTCAAAATTGCGGTCACCCAAAATAACATAAAATAATAATAAAAGTGTTTAGCATTGCTTCAACATTCATTAACATGGTATTAAGAATATTTATATTAAAATGTAGTTGATTTTTATTTGACCAGCAAAAAGTATTGCAGCCCACTTCTTTAGAATGAATACAAATTAATTAAAAGTCCTTCTTTTGCTCGGAATTTTCTAAATTGAGGTCACACGAATTAACATAAATAAAATGATAATGTGTTTAGCGACCATTCAAAATCCATCCCCCTAAAGTCTAGATGCCAACGATAGGCTCCTAAAATATTTCAATTATTAACATTTCCATATTTAATTAATTGAGTCAGTTCTTTAATTATCTCTTCTCCAAGTCTTGTTTGAACGGTGGAGTCCTTTTTAAGGAAATTCCCCCTAAAGCGCACAAACTCAAATAACTCTCTCCGATCTTAGTCATTTCCCCTGTAACCAGTTTACATTATTCTTTTCAACAAACTAGGAATCATCATAAAACACAGACCCATAAACTATTGCATTACCATTTAATTGTTCTTAAAATTTGTTAAGCCCCGAGCCTGTTTTTCAAGTCTCAGGCTCGAAAATGTCATTCCCAGAACAAATGACCATATCTTCCCTTCTAAAAGGGTTAAATTAATAATCTTTTTTCTCAAAGCAAGGTTACATCTGTGAGTTGGATGTAGAAGTGTCAGAATCAATATAGATGTTTTTATTTTAAAGTAAATTCAGATTGAACACAGTAAAAAAATGTAAATTATTGTGTCCGTCCAAAAAAAAAAATTACTTATAGTGAAAACCACCCTTGAATGATTGAATGGTAGACTAAAAGCTTTAGGAATCCAAACTACAACATATAATAAGTACCCTGTATCAAGATTGATGCAAAACAAGTTAAATTTGACCTTTTTTAGAGAGATTTAGCAAAAATAAACCACTTCTGGGGTCATTTGGGTGCATGGATTTTCCATATCTCTGGCCCCCCTTGCTCGATTTTGCTGATTGACATCTCTTTCTAACCGTCAGAGCCAATGGAATCGAGGGGAACTCCCACATACTCCTTATTTGGTAATGTGTGTGTGTGAGACTGACGCATAGCCAAAACCGGAAGCTGCGATAACTCTGGTGGCTACCATTAGCAGCTAACTTTTACTTAATTATGGATTATAAATCATTTTTTTAAATCCACAGAAACATGATCAACCTATGGATTAACCGATTCAGCCACGTTTTTCCTCGTTTTAATGCCATTGAACAAGTATTTTGATCAGATTGACATGTACGTATTGTGATGTCTGTGTTTGATTCCCCTGTCGCGAGTTCGGATCACTCGGTGATTATACTAATACCTAAATAATCTGTGGCACCTCAGCTTTAATCGGATATCTTGTATGTGCAGCTACGATAAGTAATAAGGGTATCTTTTATCTTGAGTTCTGTGCCAAAGTGCGTTAGCATTTTTCGCTCAGGGGTCATTTAGATGCTTCTTATGAGACTTGTGTTTTGTTTTGGTAAAAATGGTTTGTATCGTCAGTTAGCTGAGATTCTTCCCGTTAATCTGGTATAACCAGGGGTGCACATAACTGGTACACAGGTACGCATGCGCGGCAACAATCTGAAATGCGTACCGTCACTTGTGTCACAAAGCGCATTTGCGTACCGACGTACTTGTGAAGCTTTTCCAGAAGGCGGTTAGATCACCGGACGACAGAATCGGTCTCCATATGCACAGACAGGGCTGCTGTTAACGTCGGTCTTTACAACGGAATTGTGCCAAAACTACGCCAACCGGCTGCGGAGGGAGACTCCCCCCCCCCCCCCCCCCCCTTCACTGGAGAACTGCGCTAAAACAGCTGATCACAACGTTCACACTCTGTGGTCACGAAGTACTCCACTAGCCCCTGAAGTACCCCCCCCCCCCCCCCCCCCCCCCCCGTTGACGTTCGCGATACAGAGGGCTTCATCAAATAACTTTGAGTGGAGCCAGAAGTTGGAGTACCAAACACTAGAAAGTTACCTCACTGAGAAAGTTATGTGCACCCCTGGATATAACACATTAATAGGTTCTTAAATATTAAGATGCCCTGAGACACAGTGTCGTGAAAAAAAAACAAAACCCCCGCCGAGGGTGGCTTTGTTTTTTTTTGTTTTGGGTGTATTTGCCGTATCTCTGGAACCCATTGGTCGATTTGGGTGACAATGGAATCTGTGGAATCTCAGCTTTCATATGATATCTAGTTTATGCAGATAGCATGAAGTATAACATATTGCTACCGTGAGTTATGTGCTAAGTGCGTTAGCATTTTTTCGCTTAGTGCTAATTTAGACGCTTGGTTTAACCCTTGTGTTTCGCTTAGCTAAAAATGGTTAATATTGTCTGATAGTTGAGTTTCTTCCCGTTAAGTGGGTATGACACATTAGTAGGTTGTTAAATGTTAAGAAGCCCTGAGACACTGTTTCGTGCAATATTGTTGTTCGGGCTTAAAGGGCCCATGTCATGCTTTTCCGGTTATCACCCGTTCCCTTGTGTGTTATGAAGGTTTTTATGCATGTAAACGGTCTGCAGAGTCAAAAACCCTCAAAGTACACCCTGTAGGGAGTAAAACTCTAACACAGAAAAGACCTCCCCAAAACGCCTCGTTGGAGATTTCTCATATTCTTCCTGGGCATTGTGACGTTTGGATACCCAGTAGCCACGCCCAGAGCTATGACGCACCCTCTGCCAGCCAAGCATATATACTGTTGGAATCTCAGGTTCAGTTAAAAACAGTGCTAACTGGGCTAACGAAGTTGCTAGCGTTTACATATATCAACTACAATGTCAGCAGATGGCCTTACATGTTTCTCATAGCACGAGAATGTCTGCATTCACACACGAAATACTCATATACAGTATACTCCGGGTGATTTACCGCACGGTCAGTCGCCAAACTTTTACATTATAGTTGGCTTTCCTAGCATGTATGCTACAAAGCTAAACAACAAGGCTACATATAGCTAGACATGCTAGGAAAAACATTGTTTTTATACAAGCTAAAAAGAATGACCGACACGTAACAGACTATCGTATAAGATTGCAATTGTAAACACGTTATTGCTAGCCTAATATGAACCACTAGCTTTTGTTCATAGTACTGTAGGTTGGCATATTACACTGAACAACTAGCAAAGGTAGGTTAGCTTATACAAAAACTGATGCTCCGCTCAGAGCCGAAAAAATACTGTTAGACATGGGCGGAGCCTCTCTGGTGGTTGACTAATCAGAACAGAGTGGCCGAGCTGACCAATCGGAGCACACTGGGCTCACAGGGAGGGGGCGCAGGAGCTCCAACAAGCCGTTTAGGGCAGAGTGAATACCGGTGAATACACATACTTTACAGAGATGCTGTATGCGAAATCAATGTGAGTTTGGAAAATTGCACAGTATAAATCTATGTTAGTAGACCTCAACAATGGAATTATGATCAGTGGAAATGGCCATGACATGGGCCAGAGGTTAAAGAGTTAAAGAGGTTAAAATGCAGGTTAAAATGCAACATCCAAAATGGCATCTGATAAACTGATTCACTATGGTCTCCTTGCACAAAGTAAATATTACAGGGTTAAAAGATTTATGCAAGTGATTGCAATCAGGGTTGCTAGGTGTTGAGTGTAAAAGTAATGGTAGGAAAGATTTGACAGAAGTGGATCCAGGCAGCTAAGCAATAGCTTTTTGCTAATGTCAATTATCCACAGGTAAACACTTTAATGCATCAATAATTATAATCAAAACATGCCAATACTTTTTTACGTTTACTTCATTTTGAATCCAGGACTTTTACTTGTAACAGAGTATTCCTTCACTCAAGTACAAGATCTGAGTACTTCTCCCACCTCTGTTCGCCCATTAGCCCAGATTGTGAATTATTCATTGATCCCAAGTGATAAATTCAGTATTGTCTAATATTACAAATATGTGTTAATCCATATAATGACAGATTAAGAAACGCATACGAAAAGAACAAACTGTGCAAAGACCTTTTTAGAGGGTAAACTCCCAACGATAACCCCCTCTTCCTCCTCCACAGTGTGACCCCCAGCAGCAGGGCTCCTTCCTCCCGGTTCCACCCAGCCTTCCTCTGCCTCCTTCTGGCTGCAGCTCTGGCTCTCCTGGCCTGTCTGATCTGGTTCTTCCTGGAGCCGCCTAGTAGCTTCCACCTGGCCCTCAGGTACGTCAACGGGCCACCACCTACCTGAAGACCACCCAGAGCCTCTGATGGACAGAGTTTGGACTGTCCTCAGGCTCGACAAAATGAAGGTTTTCAACTCATGTAATGCTCGTTTCAATTAACCCACCGCATGACTCAAACATCAGAGATCTGACAGGAATCTGCAGGGGATGAGACATCGGGATAATAAGATGTTGAATCAAGGGCAGCACCAAGGGTAAAAAGTGCCTCAACAATCTTTGAAACAGCAGTTGTGGTTTCTTTTTCTGACCTTTCTTCCTGTTACAGTCCTTCATTATTCATTTAGCATACTACATAATGAACTCCTTTGTGGGTTTGATTCAGGCTGCTGTAGGCTATTTTGTTAATTCCATTAGGGGTTGAAATATCTGAGTGTCAATAAAAAAAGGAAACTTTTGTCTTTATTCTACCTTTTTAAGACAGGGTTCTTTCGTAAACAAAAAAATACATATAGCCCGAAAAATTCTTACCCTGAACTTTCTGTAAATGGAAGAGGCATTATCTTTAAAAAAGCCACATTATTTCATAAGCCTCAAGAAAAATACTTTATATATGAAAAACATCATGTTGCCTTTTTCTTTTAGATTCTTAAGATATGTTGTTTGACAAAAATAACTCAAGGACTGTAAGATGGGCTTTATATTTACAGCTTCACATTTGCCAATTCTTACTGGTTTTGACTTTTTTTGACCAACTTTTGGATGCAAATTTCTCCAAACCTCAACTGTTAGAGCAGAAGGAAAGACCACATGAGATCAACATGTTGTAAATATTTAAAAATGTTGATGAATGTTCGGCAGCTGAAGATAAGGATGTTTTGATACAGTATGCTGTGGTTAAATGATCAGTTTGCATACAGTAATGAATGTAATCTCCTGAAAGCTGCAAACAAGGTTATCATTTCTAATTCTACCAGGGAACGAAACCAAAGCATGTTTTGGTCAGCATTTTGTCAATTCCAGCTTTCAGTTTGAATTTGGTTCTTTCCTATAATCCTCAACAACGCTCTTGGATGAATCAAAAGTTATATATTATCTTAAACCTTAAATACATCACCGTCCCCTACTAGGAATGTATACATGAAAACATCTGTTAACTAAATGGGAAGGTATATTCAAATCAATATATGTAACAATAGAATGTATGTGACCAATCAGAAAGTTGTAATATGTATGTTGATGTTTCTTTATGTATGATATCTTTGGTCAATGAAAGCATTCATACCTGCCTTTTTTTTACCAAACTGATGCTAAGTTTTTTGTAGCACCAGTTGGTTTGATGACCACACTCGTGCTTTGTTGTAGATCTGATATGGTCGGTTTATTTCAATGGAAATGGAAACAACATGGAAACCTCTTCCCACAGAAGGCTTTACTTTCTTCTTTCCATTGCATGGCTCTGCTTGACTGGACTTTTTGTACCAGGTAATTTTTCTTAATTTAGCTTTCTACTGCAGATAGTACCCTCTTAATGAAGGTGGGGCTCTCAGCTGATGTCACGATGTGCAACACTGAATGATGAATGATTTGTATCCCCAACCAAATAGATGAACTTAATGATATTGTAGGTTTGTGCAGAACGTCCAGGTTCGCCCAAGTGACGATGCTCTCTGACCAATCAGTGGTCTGCAGTGTTCTGACCCCACCTTCGTGTATCGGCCAAGCTCTATGGGATCCTTCACCGAAGTGGTACGAATTAAAGTCCTGGGTACAATCAAAAACTTCAGCTTATGGAAAACCAAAAGAAACATTTTAGTAGAGCTGTCATTGCTCCATGCGGTGGAAATGTGGCATAAACATACAATAGTTACAGGAAAATCAAGTTGAATGTATTTGAGGATTAATAATCAAAACATATCTCTGTATGTCATCAAATTAACACTTGTGATGGGTTCATAACATCCATCTGTCTTGTAAATCTGTTTTATATATTTTCTTATTTCTCCTAACGAACGATATATGATTCCCTGAAATTGTCGAAAAACAGCACTAACACTATGAACAGGTGAAGCAAACAATCACGTCCAAGATTTATTTTACCTTGCATTATTGTAAAAAAAACGTTTGATTGTTTTGACATTAGACTCTGTACTGCCTTGCTATCTGTGCTAATGTAGCTAAAGCTAATGTAAACGACTCGGCTAACAAGCTAGCATTATGGTTTTGAATGATTGTATGATTTCCACTGCCTTGTTACATCCTGATAGATGGATAAAGATGTTTTGTAAAAAGAGAAATTAATCAAAATGCACAGTTAAAATACCCAATTCTATTTGTTTTGCCCATTGACTATAAATCACACGTATGAACGTTACTACTGGACTTTTTCCAGACAATCAAAACCATGACTGTGCATGTGTTTTTTTTTTTTCTTTTTTCAGCTTTTTGTTCTGTTATTTCTTACATTTATATAGATTTGAAACTTTCTGAAGAAAAATAATCTATCACAGCCAAGATCCTGTCGTCAATTATTGTAGTGAGTCGTGAAAGTGGTGTTCGCTGCTACGTATGAAACAAAAAATATTTCAGTGTGACAAAAGGAAGAAGAAGCGTTATTGATTCTTCTACAATGATTGTTTTCTGATGATGTGTCACACTGACTCTTGTGAAACGTAAGATAGTAGTAGTGTACGCGTCTCCAATAATTATAAATTGGGCTAAATTATAAACTAATAGCATGGTATCACAGGGAAGTGTGTAATGATGTTTCTTTTATTATTTCTTGCTGTGAGATGTTGACTGATTTATACTTTTTATATTCACCATCCGCTAACAGTGTCAACAATGCTGTTCCAGTTTACAGCAGGTAATGCCTTCTGTGATTGACTTCTTTGTTCAGTAATTTTTAAGAACTGTTTTTCAAAACACAAATGTCTAACTTTCTCAGGGGTAAGATTCCACTTGCCATCATCACACTACTTGTTTGTATGTTTCAAGCCTTTAAAAGGTTAGACAAAATCATTTAAAAAGGGAATATTGTAAGTCAACTGCCATCTACCAAAAAATATGTTTTATATTGCATCCAATCGAATGCTCCCGTTTCTATGTTTAGAGATCACAAATAAAACTAATTGTATGAAACATTTGTACTATCTTGATCATTTCGTCTGTAATCTGTGACTTGACTAAGTTTGCAGTGAAAAAACATTGTTTTTCATTGTGGAATTTATTTTAGCAGGGGAAGAGAATTTAAATCTCTGAAGTCTCAGTGGAAATGCATTTCATAGTAAGTGATTTTTACTTCTGTCAGGCGTACCTTTTTTAAATCGCTTTTATTTATTTTCCTTGCAAGGTGGGTTCAATACAGACCAGCAGTTTGTATGTGTTTTAACTTTTAACACGTAAATGTAACACTAAATGAGGCTACTAAACATCATCACTCCGAACATTAGCTGCCTTTAGCTTTAGCGGTCGCCTAGTCATGCGACCGTGATGTAATTTGTTTAAAGCTTTTTACTTCTGCCCGATTGCATTTACGCTTAACAAATCACATACTAGGTTAATATGTGGAGATTATTCTGTGGAACAAAACATGTTAGGTATCAAACATCTGTTTGTCAGCTTATTGTGAAATACAATTTATTTTTGGAGAGGGACCCCTTGCGATGCTAACTTCCAGGTCTGCATACAAAAATATGTCATCACTGCACCTATATATATATATATATATATATATATATATACTGAACAAAAATATAAATGCAACACTTTTGTTTTTGCTCCCATTTTTCATGAGATGAACTCAAAGATCTAAAACATTTTCTATATACACAAAATAACCATTTCTCTCAAATATTGTTGACAAATCTGAAAAAATCTGTGATAGTGAGCACTTCTCCTTTGCCGAGATAATCCATCCCACCTCACAGGTGTGGCATATCAAGATGCTGATTAGACAGCATGATTATTGTACAGGTGTGCCTTAGGCTGGTCACAATAAAAGGCCACTCTGAAATGTTCAGTTTTATCACACAGCACAATGCCACAGATGTCGCAAGTTTTGAGGGAGCGTGCAATTGGCATGCTGACAGCAGGAATGTCCACCAGAGCTGTTGCCCGTGAATTGAATGTTCATTTCTCTACCATATGCCGTTTCCAAAGGCGTTTCAGAGAATTTGGCAGTACATCCAACCGGCCTCACAACCGCAGACCACCTGTAACCACACCAGCCCAGGACCTCCACATCCAGCATGTTCACCTCCAAGATCGTCTGAGACCAGCCACTCGGACAGCTGCTGCAACAATCGGTTTGCATAACCAAAGAATTTCTGCACAAACTGTCGGGAAGCTCATCTGCATGCTCGTCGTCCTCATCGGGGTCTCGACCTGACTCCGGTTCATCGTCGTAACTGACTTGAGTGGGCAAATGCTCACATTCGATGGCGTCTGGCACGTTGGAGAGGTGTTCTCTTCACGGATGAATCCCGGTTTTCAATGTTCAGGGCAGATGGCAGACAGCGTGTGTGGCGTCGTGTGGGTGAGCGGTTTTCTGATGTCAATGTTGTGAATCGAGTGGCCCATGGTGGTGGTGGGGTTATGGTATGGGCAGGCGTATGTTATGGACGACGAACACGGGTGCATTTTATTGATGGCATTGTGAATGCACAGAGATATCGTGACGAGATCCTGAGGCCCATTGTTGTGCCATTCATCCACGACCATCACCTCATGTTGCAGCATGATAATGCACGGCCCCATGTTGCAAGGATCTGTACACAATTCCTGGAGGCTGAAAACATCCCAGTTCTTGCATGGCCAGCATACTCACCGGACATGTCACCCATTGAGCATGTTTGGGATGCTCTGGATCGGTGTATACGACAGCGTGTTCCAGTTCCTGCCAATATCCAGCAACTTCGCACAGCCATTGAAGAGGAGTGGACCAACATTCCACAGGCCACAATCAACAACCTGATCAACTCTATGCGAAGGAGATGTGTTGCACTGCATGAGGCAAATGGTGGTCACACCAGATACTGACTGGTTTTCGGACCCCCCCAGACTCCCCCAATAAAGCAAAACTGCACGTTTCAGAGTGGCCTTTTATTGTGGCCAGCCTAAGGCACACCTGTGCAATAATCATGCTGTCTAATCAGCATCTTGATATGCCACACCTGTGAGGTGGGATGGATTATCTCGGCAAAGGAGAAGTGCTCACTATCACAGATTTTTTCAGATTTGTGAACAATATTTGAGAGAAAGGGTTATTTTGTGTATATAGAAAATGTTTTAGATCTTTGAGTTCATCTCATGAAAAATGGGAGCAAAAACAAAAGTGAATTTTTGTTCAGTGTGTATATATATATATACACACACATCATATTTTTCTTCAAAAGCAATATGAGTGCATTTACCTTTGGTACTTTAACTGTGTTAAATATTTGAAAACTTCTTTCACCTCTGGGTAATTGTTGTATCCATAGAATATTTTTATACAACATTTAAGTAAGTTAGTCTAAACTGGAGCAGAAAGAAACTGAATTGATAACATTAAGCAGTTAGCCATGAGAAGCCGTAGGTTTCAGTGATTCTCTGGTAAGGTGCGGGCTCTTTAGTATACCTTATTGGCATCTACACAACACCTTTATCATAATCAAGGTGTGTGTGTGTGTGTGTGTGTGTGTGTGTGGAATCATGTGAAGACTAAAAACAACTATTTAATAGATTTTTCAATTCTAAATTTGGGCCAAGACCATAAAACAAAACATAACTATTTCCTATTTAATTGTTTTTGAGGATTTTTTTGGTGGTAAAATATCATGTCTCAAAAAAAAACCTCTTGTATATACACTTAGTCTTTGATATAACGTCGGAATTAGAGCTGAAACGTGATCTTTACATCGCATGTGTACACATCTGTTCTCTTTCTGTTCCTTCGAATGTCTCGCTTTACATTCTGCCTCGATATCCCGAATTACAATTTTAAATGAAATGTACAATAATAGTCTGTGTTTGGAAAGACAAGGCATGTTTTTCAGACATAGCGTGTAGAAATGGGACGGTGGTCAGGGGAGGAGGAGGGCGTCTAGGGGACACGGTAACATGAATGGCCACGATTGTTCCCCCAAAGCCGAAAAACGCCTGAAATTCAGTTAGAGGGCAACTAATTTCGTGTTAGCCGAGGAATCTGCCAAAGGACTTTTAACCCTGTGGTCGTGAGACGGCGAGAGATGGAAAAGGATGCAGAAAATGTAAGGCTGAGAGCTTTAAACGGACAGTTCACCCAGTTCAACAAAAAAAAAGTATAGATATTACCTCACTGTGAACATATTTATGAATCTAGATAAATAGAACAATTTGTTTCCTACCCAGCTACTAGCTTGCCGTATATTCACGCAGAAGCATCCATGCATACTTATGGAAAAAGGGGTTTTGTTCTGACAGGTCAAGATGTCAACATTAATGGCGTCCTGCTAAACTAAGCTGTGACGTTAGCTAGCTAAGTAGATGCTAACCCTATCCCTGAGAGTATAGTTCGGTAGAAAGAAAAAAAAAGTTTCTAACTGCTACTACAAGATCTGTAAAGAATCTTAAGTAAGAAGTAAAACTATTTCTTGCTGTTTAGATTTTCAGATGTACTTTTTGGGCGGTTCAAACACTATAAACTGAGTGGCATAGTCCCATTATATCAAAGATAAGGCTGTCATCTTTCCAATACTCACATAAAAACAATATCAATTTATAAAAAGCACTACAGATAAGAGAATGTTTTTTAGATTTTTGGGTGAACTGTCTCTTTAAAATACATTTCTGAGAGCACCAGATTCACAGCCGTTATTGGTTTACTAGATTCAAAGTTTGCTCTCGACCAAAATCATGTCACTACAAAGGGAGTCATCAGACAAAACACACAGGCAAAAAAAAAGAAAGAAAAGACAATTACTAAAACTGAGTGTAACAACCTGTGTGAGACGTCGCACTTTTCCTTTTTTTTGCACTAAAGACTGATCTCAGTCTCATATGCCCAAATCAGAATCGGAAATCCTTTATTTGTCCTGCAACAGGGACATTTACATTACAACAGCAGATAGTGCAGGTAAATTAATAATTATTATTAATAACACAAGTAAAAAATATTCAATTAGTAGCTAGCTGGTAGTATGCCAATTGTAAATACACTGAGCGAAAGAAAAAAAAAAATCATTTAGATTTAAAAACCACATTACTTTATGAATCTTTGTATATTTCTGTCATTATGCATACAGATTTTAGTTTAGGTTGTGAATATTTCATCATACAAAAGCACACAATTGTTATACTGAACTCCAACAACCTTCATGAGGAAACAGAGCAGAAAGAACTGGAGGAGAAAAAGATGGAGGGAGGACGGATTCCAGTCACATTCCAGCTGGCGTTGCTGTGTTCGGGAATGTAAGATATTTCAGTACGTATTTATGAAGCACACACAGGCTGTGTTGTTTAATGGGGGCTTTATTTGCATCCATTTTCAACGAAACCCTTTTCAGTCCTGCAGCAATTTTTTTTAAAGATGTCAGATACATGCTATTGATTAAATTAGTGTGTGTGTGTGCGAGCGCGCGTGTGTGCGCTCTGTCTCTGCAGTGTAGTGCGAGATAAAGTCGGGATGTTCCCCCGGCTAATAGATGGTAGCCTGCAGTGACAGGACTGACTGACTGACTGACTGACTGACTGACTAGCCGGCTGCTATGTGAAGAGTCTGGTTCACTGCTAAGCCACGGCTGAGACAGGAAGCTGTGTGTGTGTCATCAGAAAGCTGATGTTTTTTGGAAATTAAAAGTGACGAGCCGCATCCAGAGCATAAACAAAAAGATGTCGGTGTTTCTTGGTACTTAATTATTTGAAATGGTGCTCTGAAATGATCACTACAAGAGCAGGCGGACTGGAATATTGATACTGAAAGCTGGACGTTCTCTATGTAGCTGTCAGAACCTCTTAAAGATGACATATTATGCAAATGTTCAGGTTCATATTTGTATATTTTGCCTTTACTGTTTCCATGCTTTAAAGGTGGGGTAGGTAAGTTTGAGAAACCGGCTCGAGATACACTTTTTGTTATATTCCATGGAATGCTCTTAACATCCCGATAGCAATGAATATCT